TGAACCCTTCAAGCAACTGATATTTCAATAATTATTCGCATATGCACACATACACGCACACACACAGACATACGACGCACGTATAAATACGCATTGGCTGCTTACTATGGAAACTTAATTGTTTAATAACTTTTCTTGTGGATGGACTATCTTCAAGAAACTTTCAAATTATGAATATAACATAGATATGCATGTATTTGCCAAAGCAGAATTCCCTAGTATTTGAAATACGCCTTTTACAAATGTGATGTTGAGGGGGTGAATTAGAGGTGGGGAGTAAATTTTGACAAAAACCGAAAAAATTGTATAAAATGCATATAGGTATACATAAAAAATTTGGAGAGTCTAGCTTTAAAGATGTAGGAGATATAAATTTATTACTGGTTTTCGATAATAATTTTAATCGATAACAAAATAACGGGGTAAGTTATCGATATTTAAAGCAAAACTCGATATGCGTGTGCCATACACGGACCTAGGAAATTCAAGTCTCTAGCTCTTATATCTTCTGAGATCGACGCGTTCAAACGTACGGAGAGACGGACGGACGGACAGACGGACAGTGCCAAATCGACTCAGCACGTCGCCCTGATCAAGAATATATATACTTTATGGGGTCTGCCACGCCTCCTTCTGCCTGTTACATACTTTTAACAAAACCATTATACCTTGAAAATGGGTTCAGGGTATAAAAATATCAAAAATATAAAATTTTGAAAGTGTAATTAAAATTTCTTTGGATAACCCCGAAGAATAAGGATCAAGAAAACGAACTGGGCGAAACCCGTTATTAATTGCGCGCGATACACACAACCGCTTGTACAGCTTTGGCATCACATGTAGGCGAATCTATGTCAGCGATGACTGTTTGACAAGTTCTTAAGAGCTCAGAAATCATAAAGAGGTCTAAACTGACCAGAGCACCCATGTTGCTAAGTCGACACAAGGTTGCTCGACTTAATTTTGCCGAAAGACATACTGCGATCGACCTGACATACGCCCGTTTGAATCATCGTCTTTTGGTTTACAGTATATTTATATATTTTTACTCTAACAGGTCATATTTTCTGATTGTAAAGCTAGGTACACACGATGCAAACAATTTGCAGCAAGTTGAAAATAATTTGCAGCAAAAGTTTGCACAAATGTTCACACCAATGCAAATATTGCATGCAAATTACTTGCTGCAATCAATTTTTGTTTTGCATGCAAACTTTTGCATGGCTATTTCGTGCAATATATTGCATTAATGTCTACACGTGTTTTCATTTTTTGTTTTTGTTTGCACTGCTTGCAAGTGACACTCATTTGCAAGTTCAGTTGAATTGAAAAATTCAAGGAATAACGACGTGTTTATATTATGTCGGGACAACAATCGAGAGTTGCTGCTGTTGCTATATTAGCAATTTTGATAAAACAAAAAAAAAAAAAAAAAAATGAGAAGATCAAAGTCTGAAAAAAAAAAAAAAAAGTGTTGGGTGAAAGAGTGGATTTCTAAAAGAGATGAAAAAGAAGTGCATCAGAACCTTTTAAAAGAGCTACAATATGGTGATGAAAAAAACTATTACAATTTTCGCATGTCAGTCAGTGATTTCAATTTTTTATTAGAAAAAGTAATTTTTTTTTAGCAATTTCGCGATAAGCCTTTTGCTTTTTATAATTGCTTTTAAAGACTACTGACGAAACATCCCATAAAACTCAAAAATTCTCGTACAATTCAATTTATTTAATCGTTTTCTCGCGATCCCACATTTTGCTTTGCTTGCTGCAATATCGCGGCTGAAAGCAAACAGCACATGCAAACAAGCAAACAACTGACGCAACCAAGCTAACGGCAAAATTCTGTGTTCAGACGATAAACAAAAAAGGTGCCGCGAACAGTTATTGCAAATTTTTTGTTTGCAGCAAAATGTTTGCACTCGTGTTCAAACGTGCAAATTTGATTGCAGCAATCAACTTGCTGCAAATTGTTTGCATCGTGTGGACCTAGCTTAAGAAGTTTAACCTGGATGGTCCTGATGGATATGATTCTTATTAGCATTATTTGAAAAAGGATCCTATGTTTTTTTTAAGGACAGACTTTGGAGGTGGCTCCGTAATAATTTGGGGTAAATTTTGTTCATTTGGTACCTTAGAATTAAAGTTTGTAACGAGCCGAATGAACAGTGAAGAGTATATTCAGACTCTGGATAAGTGTCTAATTCCATATTTACGGGAATTATGTGAAAAACCAATGGTTTGCCAACAGGATAATGCCCGAATCCATGTGAGCAGACGTACAAAGCAGTGTTTGGAGGAACCGCATGTTGATGTCCTTGACTGGCTAGCATGTTCTCCAGATCTCAACCCGATAGAAAATGTCTAGGGTAATATTGCTAGACGTGTGTATGCATTCTAAATGAATGACAAAGTATCGAAAAGGACCATTCATTAAATTTAGTGGGTTCAATGAGAAAGAGAATTTTTAAGTTAACTAAGGCAAATGGAGGCCGGACTAAGTATTAACATTTTCCATCAATCCGCAACGAATTCTGATTTTTTTTTTTTACCAAAATATGAAATTGGGCTATAATTTTGATACAGCAAATGGGTACTATTTTTCTTTGTTTTTTACTTCTTTTTAAGAAATTGTTATTAAATCGGTAATTTTAAGTGAAAAAGTTTTTGCCATTCATAGTTGAAATATTAAAACACTCAATTTTGAAGTTTTGAAGGAAATGTGCCCTTTGGGAAAAATTTTCAGCCGATTCGTTTAAATGGATTATAAGTGGTTTATAATTTTGATAAGCACTGTTTATTTCTTACAGCTATACTAGAGACCTAAAATCTGGTATACCCAAGACGCCCATAAAAAGTTTATAGCCTCCCCTACCGATGACCCAAAAAATAATTCTTGCGCCTCTTTTCACATTTATTGAGCGTACGTATCCAAATTTTGCAGTTACGTTACCTATAGCTCATTCTAAGAAATGGCTAAAAACACACTTTTTTCGTGGATGTACTTTCTTCATGAAATCGTTCAGATTATGATTATAACACGGATATGCATGCATTTGCTAAAGCACAAGTATCTAGAATTTGAAATACGCCCTTTACAAATATGTGGGTGAGGGGGTGGGTAAATTTTAACAAAACCGAAATTGTATAAAATGCATATATGCAAGTATACTTTAAAAATGTTGAGACTCTAGCTTTAAAGATGTAGGAGATATATAATTATATATAGATACAATATAATTTTATAACTGATTTCTGATAAAAACAAGTAAGAAGACTCTAGTCGAGACTGCTCGACTAGGATATACCCTGAACCCTCTAATCTGATATTCTAATCAGTCTGCACTTCTTTTCGACACACATACATACACGAGCACGTATTAGAACGCTGTAGTGTGGGCAACATTATAAGAATTTATTTGTTGAATAATTTAATTTTTAGACGTACAATCTTAATGAAACTTTCAGGGCGTAATCATATGGTGAAAATGTATGTACATTCCAAAGCACAAGTCTCTAGTACTTGAAATACGCCTTGTACAAAGGTGAGGGTGAGGGGGTGGTGGGTAAATAACAATAAAAATCGAAATTATATAAGTCTACATTTAAAATTTGCAAGCTCTAGCTCTAAAGGTGTAGGAGATATAATTAAATAACTAGCTTTCGAAAAGGTTTTTAATCGATAATAAAATATCGGGAGTAGTTATCGATATAAAAAGAAAAACTTGATATGCGCGTGATATACACGGACCTAGGAAAAAAAATTTCAAGTCTCTAGCTCTTATATCTTCTGAGATCGACGCGCTCATACATACGGACGGACGGACGGACGGACGGACAGACAGACGGACAGGGCCAAATCGACTCAGCTCATCGCCCTGATCAAGAATATATATACTTTGTGGGGTCTGCCACGCCTCCTTCTGCCTGTTACATACATTTTAACAAAACCATTATACCCTGATTTCCCATTGAAAATGGGTTCAGGGTATAACAAGTAAGAAAGCTCTAGTCGAGACTGCTCGACTACGAGATCCCCTGAACCCTTGGAGCAATAGATATTTCAATACTTTTTCGCGTCTTTCAGCTTACACAAGAAACACGCACACACAGGCATACATACACACACACGCATACAGACACACATACACACACACGCCTACATACAAAAACGCATACACACACACACATACACACACATACACAAACACATAAACACACGAGCAACCACGCATAAACACGCATGGGCTGCAGTGTGCGCTTACTATGAGAACTTAATTGTTTAATAACTTTTTTTATGGACGTACGATCTTCATGAAACTTTTAGATTATGATTATAACATGAATATGCATGTAATTGCCACAAGTACACAAGTACACAAGCACAAGTCTCTAGTATTTGAAATACGCTTTTTACAAAAGTGATGGTGAGGGGGTGAATTTAGAGGTGGGGGGTAAATTTTAACAAAAACCGAAATTGTATAAATTGCATATAAGCATACATTAAAAATTTGGAGACTCTAGCAATAAAGGTGTAGAAGATATAATTTTATAACTGGGTTTCGATAAGGTTTTTTATCGATAAAAAAAAGATCGAGATGAGTTACCGATTTTTAATGATAAACTTGATATGCGCGTTGTAATTACGGACATTTAAAAAAAAATTTGAAGTCTCTAGCTCTTATATCTTCTGAAATCGACGCGTTCATACATACGGACAGACGGACAGACGGACGGACGGGCGGACAGACGGACAGGCAGACGGACAGGGCCAAATCAACTCAGCTCGTCGCCCTGATCAAGAATGTATATACTTTATGGGGTCTGCCACGCCTCCTTCTGCCTGTTACATACATTTCAACAAAACCATTATACCCTGATTTCCCATTGAAAATGGGTTCAGGGTATAACAATGGACACAATAAGTAAATCTAAATTTGTACCATTGCATAGCCAATTATTTTGGATTAAATATTTTTTATAATTTTTATTGTATTACTTACTTGTGTGGGGGTCAAGTGAATAAGACTTGCTAAGTGTTCTCGCTCAGGGGCCGATAAATATCGCTGTTGCTTAAATCTTCTCTCAAGCTCATAGACCTAAAAAAAAAAAAAAAAATTAACAGCATACATATTTTTAACATTTTTTATAATTTTATGAATAAATATAATCAAGAATCAAGGGACTTAATTTTAAATAAATACTAGTTGTCCCGGCGAACTTCGTACCGCCTAACAGTCTCTATATATATAAAACAAAGTAGAGTTTGTTACAAAACTTATAATTCGAGATCTGCTGCACCAATTTTCATGGATTTGATTTGTTGGATTTGTCTCTGCCCCGAATTGGAAACAGGCATTGTATTTTTGAGTGCTCGCTAGAAAAGTAGGGAACGCAATGGCTCTGGTGGCGGGACCACTAATGGCAATGTCACTTTACCACTAAGGCAGCACAAACCGGGCGTTTCACCAGCAAACTTCAATGCGCCACAATGCTGGCAAACAACGTCCATTGGACCAATGCAAACTAAACGATTCAAGCTGTAATCAATGGTGCAATCATATCGAAACGCTGCTCGATTCAAATCAATCCTTGAACCATTTCTTATTGCCATTTCACGGGCTGCCTCTCTTTGAGAAGCACGAATTAAGGCCCTTCTTTGCTGGGTACTAGCGCGGAGCCTTTCTCGGGCGATTTCTCGCTCTTCGTCAGATAATTGACTCGCGCTATTCCGTTGCCTAATTGCATTATGGGTCCGCCGGGAAAGATTAGATCTTCTAGAACGCGGCATTTTTATTAATAGTAATACTGAATATGCCCTCGCACAAAACCATATAAAACAATCGAGAAATATAAATATAAATAATTTACACAAATTTATGTTTGAGACAAACAAATACCTGAACTTTCGAGATATTTAGCTTTTGTAAAAGTCCAAAAATATAAAAAGCCAAAAATACACTTTTTATACTCATTCACGAAAGTGAATCAGTATATTGGTTTTGTTCAATGTCCGTCTTGCTGTCCGTCCGTCTGTCCATCTGTCCGTCTGTCCGTCTGTCCGTATGAACGCAATCTATTTCGGCGCTATTGAAGCTAGAGACTTGAAATTTGGAACACATACTCGTGTATATCTCCGATTTATAAAGTGTTAAAATTTTCCCGATCCGCCCACTAGGGGCGTGGCAAATCGGAAAATGCATTTTCCGATATACCAGAAATCATATAAGTTGAAGAGCTAGAAAGCTGAAATTTGGTATGTAGGTCCGCATCGACAACCCAAGATCACAAGCTATGGCGGATATATCTCCGCCCATTGGGGGCGTGGCAGATCGGATAAAACTGTATCTCCTAAAGTTGTAAACCTAGAATGCTGAAATTTTGCATGTCAGCTAATGTTATGATTCTATAAAGTCTAAAAATTAAATTATAAGTCTACACCCATTAGGGGCGTGGCAAATCGGACCTGAAGATATAGTGATTTTTCAAATTCTGCTATTTTTTGGACACTATTGATGCCAGAGATCTCAAATTTTGTATATATACTCGGGCTGATCACCCAAGACCAAAAAGCTTTGTCGGATATATGTCCGCCCACAGGGGGCGTGGCAAACCGCAAAAATGTATATCTCCTAAAGTATAATAGCTAGAAGCTTCAAATTTAAATAGTTGAGTTACTGGTAGCCTCATCTATCTATTCCCCAAAAAATAATTTTTACGCCTCTTTAGGGGCGTATCGAAAAATACCCTGTAGTTTTCACTTTTTTTGAGAGTAAGCATTCAAACTTTGCAGTTAGGGTACTGTTATCTCGTTCTAGAAACTGACCAAAAATTAGGTGTCTATGCCCAGTAGGGGCGTGGCAAATCGGAAAAGCCTGTATATTCTACAGTATTAGAGCGAAATTTAACTACTAAATTGTTGATGGGATGTGAATGAGTATTCCGCAGTCGGTAACGCCCGACTGCAACGTTCTTACTTGTTAATAACTAACTTTTTTTTTTTTTGAATTTCGAATTTTGAATTTTTTATTTATTTTTGATTAGTCAGGTTTTAATCTTTTGATTTTTTTTTAAATTTTTGCAGATTTTTGATTTGAAATATTTATAAAGTTTAAAAGTCCAAAAATATAAAAAGCCAAAAATACATTTTTATACCCTGAACCCATTGAAAATGGGAAATCAGGGTATAATGGTTTTGTTAAAAGTATGTAACGGGCAGAAGGAGGCGTGGCAGACCCCACAAAGTATATATATTCTTGATCAGGGCGACGAGCTAAGTCGATTTGGCACTGTCCTTCTGTCTGTCCGTCCGTATGTATGAACGCGTCGATTTCAGAAGATATAAGAGCTAGAGACTTCAAATTTTTTTTTAAATGTCCGTGATTACAGCGCGCATATCAAGTTTATCATTAAAAATCGATAACTCATCCCGATCTTTTTGTATCGATAAAAAACCTTATCGAAAACCAGTAATAAAATTATATCTTCTACACCTTTACTGCTAGAGTCTCCAAATTTTTAATGTATGCTTATATGCAATTTATACAATTTCGGTTTTTGTTAAAATTTACCCCCACCTCTAAATTCACCCCCTCACCCTCACTTTTGTAAAAAACGTATTTCAAATACTAGAGACTGTGCTTTGGCAATTGCATGCATATTCATGTTATAATCATAATCTGAAAGTTTCATGAAGATCGTACGTCCATAAAAAAAGTTATTAAGCAATTAAGTTCTCATAGTAAGCGCACACTGCAGCCCATACGTGTTTATGCGTGGGTGCTTGTGTGTGTATGTGTGTGTGTATGCGTTTGTGTGTGTATGTGTGTGTGTATGCGTGTGTGTGTATGTATGCCTGTGTGTGCGTACGTGCGTGTGTGTGTGTGTGCGTGTTTCTTGTGTAAGCTGAAAGACGCGAAAAATTATTGAAATATCTATTGCTCCAAGGGTTCAGGGGATCTCGTAGTCGAGCAGTCTCGACTAGAGCTTTCTTACTTGTTTTCAATCCACTTATTCTTCTGCTGATCTCTACAGCAACTCATATCCTTATTCTCTTCCTGAATATGGATCTATAAATACTCCCAAAGTTACTGCATCCTCTCTGGCTGCAGCCATTAAGACATTGAAATCATCTTTCTCTCCTGGTGCTGATAATATTCCTAGTTGTGTGATTAAAGTTGTGTTTCTCTTCAGTCACAATTACTAAAATTGTTTAACTTGTCCTTGGATACTTCTGTGTTCCCTTCAATTTGGAAAGAATCTTTCATCATTCCCTTATATAAACAAGTAAGAAGTCTCTAGTCGAGACTGCTCGACTAGGAGATACCCTGAACCCTCTAATCTGATATTCTAATCAGTCTGCACTTCTTTTCGACACACATACATACACACACACGTATTAGAATGCGCTCTGCTAACTGCGCTAGGGCTGCGCTGTAGTGTAGGTAACATTATAAGAATTTATTTGTTGAATAATTTAATTTCTATACGTACAATCTTAATGAAAGTTTCAGGGCGTAATTATATGGTGAAAATGTATGTACATTCCAAAGTACATGTCTCTAGTACTTGAAATACGCGTTTTACAAAGGTGAGGGTGAGGGGGTGGATATAGGGGTGGGGGGTAAATTTCAACAAAAATCGAAATTATATAAAATACATATAAGTCTACATTTAAAATTTTCAAGCTCTAGCTATAAAGGTGTAGGAGATATAATTAAATAACTAGCTTTCGATAAGGTTTTTGATCGATAGTAAAATATCGGGAGTAGTTATCGATATATAAAGAAAAACTTGATATGCGCGTGATATATACGGACCTAGGAAAAAAAATTTCAAGTCTCTAGCTCTTATATCTTCTGAAATCGACGCGTTCATACATACGGACGGACGGACGGACGGACGGACGGACAGACAGACAGACGGACAGGGCCAAATCGACTTAGCTCATCGCCCTGATCAAGAATATATATACTTTGTGGGGTCTGCCACGCCTCCTTCTGCCTGTTACATACTTTTAACAAAACCATTATACCCTGATTTCCCATTTTCAATGGGTTCAGGGTATAACAAGTACGAAGACTCTAGTCGAGACTGCTCGACTAGGAGATACCCTGAACCCTCTAATCTGATATTCTAATCAGTCTGCACTTCTTTTGGACACACATACATAAACACGCACGTATTACAATGCGCTCTGCTAACTGCGCAGTAAGCAGCGACTGCGCTTGGGCTGCGCTGTATTGTGGGCAACATTATAAGAATTTATTTGTTGAATAATTTAATTTCTAGACGTACAATCTTAATGAAACTTTCAGGGCGTAATCAAATGGTAAAAATGTGTTTACATTCTAGAGCACAAGCCTCTAGTACTTGAAATACGCCTTTTACAAAGGTGAGGGTAAGGGGGTGGAAATAGGAGTGGGGGGTAAATTTTAACAAAAATCGAAATTGTATAAAATATATATAACTCTACATTTAAAATTTGGAAGCTCTAGCTCTAAAGATGTAGGAGATATAATTAAATAACTAGCTTTCGATAAGGTTTTTGATCGATAATAAAATATCGGGAGTAGTTATCAATATTTAAAGAAAAACTTGATATGCGCGTGATATACACGGACCTAGGAAAAAAAATTTCAAGTCTCTAGCTCTTATATCTTCTGAAATCGACGCGTTCATACATACGGACGGACGGACGGACGGACGGACGGACGGACGGACAGACAGACGGACAGGGCCAAATCGACTTAGCTCGTCGCCCTGATCAAGAATATATATACTTTGTGGGGTCTGCCACGCCTCCTTCTGCCTGTTACATACTTTTAACAAAACCATTATACCCTGATTTCCCATTTTCAATGGGTTCAGGGTATAAAAATGAATTCAGTAATTATTGCAACATGTGATGGAGAAACAGAAAAGGCAAATCGATTCAATATTTTGATGCTTTGATAACAGAAAATTTTTAATTGTTTAGCAATAAACTAGTAAGTATTGCAATAGAGAAAAATGAATTCAGTAATTATTGCAACATGTGATGGAGAAACAGAAAAGGCAAATCGATTCAATATTTTGATGCTTTGATAACAGAAAGTTT